ATCATGACCGGCGGCATGTGCGCGGCCCAGCGGGGGAACCAGGGACGCAATGAGATAAGAAGAGGCGCCACGAAAGCTGGGGAAACGTCGTGGGCCCCGCCATGATCTCCCTCAAGGAATGTGGCAGGAAGGGTTCAGCAAGACTTTTTTTCACCGTTAAGAGTGAGGTGCGAATTAAGGGCCGAGATCTCTCTACATATCTCCTGCGCCATCGTAGGATGGTAGCCTACAACCAACCAGGAAAAAAAGTCCCGTTTTTGTCGTAACGGCGTCGGGCGGCCCAGCCGCTGTCGTAACGGCGCGCCGCCTGCTGAAGCATACCTGTTGTGTACTCGCTAGCACAGTTAGCGCGGAGCCGATCGACGACTCGCGATATAGAGAGCTGGAAGATGTCGTGTGTACTGCACAATTTTCTGATTCTACAGGCATGTGCTTGTGGCCACGAGCTGTGCACGTGACGTGGATGGCACTGGAGGGGGCGAGGGGAGGAGAGAGGGAGGAAGGCTTGAGAAGATGAGAGGCCGAACAATTGTCACCCGATTTTGAAATCTCAAGCTCAAGGAAATCTATTCTCCACCACCCGAATTCTATCTTCAGAGGATAGAATGATGCCAGTTGCTGCATTCTAATAAAAAGTTGTTTTGTTTCAGGCACTCTGCTGGCACTCAGAATCAGGATGTCGTCGCGGAACCCGAAGTAGCCTTTGACGCCGGCTGAGCCGAGGCTGCTCGTGATGGGCAGCTCCATCAAGGCTACCAACGCACAGTCTGCCACCTCCCCGCTGTGGAGGAGGCTCATACCAGAACCCTCGGTGACCTGGTACGTGATATTATCCGAAAGCTCCCACGCGTCGTCCACGAATTGGCTTTCTGGGGCGAATAGGAGAACTCTGCGGAGCGTCGTGCGCATTGGATCGTGGGCTGGCCACAGACTGACCACCGCTTCAGTGATGGCCTCGGCCCTTCCATTGAGGTAGAAGTCCTTGACGTCGATGGTAGCCATGTGCCAGCGTGTGATGTCCTGCCTTGGGATGTTCCTGATCCTGGCCATCAAATCTTTGGAATCTCTCAGCAGCCAGGGCGCGATCCCCTGCAGTTTTGCCCGGAGTATCTGCGCCAACCAGCAGCTGAGCCCCGCGAACATGTAGCTATGGGACGCATGTGATCACCCGGGTGACTCCAACCTAAGACCCATGGAGGCCCAACCGGAAAGAAAAAAAATGGGGCGCGCCGAAGAACCCAGGGGGTCCGGTTCCCGCGGAGGAAAGAAAAAAACCCTGGCGATGGGGTTCGAGCACGGGGGTTACCCCCCCTCAAATTCCGGAAGAGGAATGAACTCCCAGCCGCGGGGGTGCCCGCGCGAGGGGTCCCACCCCCCCAAGCGCAACCAGAGGAAGAAAAGCGTGAGAGCCGAGACTGTAAATGCAATGCAACAACACCTTAATCGCGGTTGCACTAGGGATTTGCATTAGTACGGGAACAACTGAATTACAGCCGGTGAGGTTTGGGTTCGGGTTCGGGCTTATATAGTGGGAACCCAGTATATTGAAAACGCAATATATTGGAAACTCAATATATTGGAAACCCACTATATTGGAAACCCAATATATTCGAAACCCAATATATTAGAACCCGAATATTTGCACGGCAGGACAACGTGCTCTCTAGGAACAACTGCGCGATAGGACATGATAGTACCAGTTGTACTCAAGTACGAGTTGTACGGTAGTCGGAGGGGTTCAGGGGTTCCAACGGCAACGCGCGCGGGGAAGAAGGAAAGAAATCCATGCGCCGCCAGGGGTCCCGGGTTTAACGGGTCGCCGCGAAGGTTGACCCCCCGCGGAAAGAAGAAAAGAAATCCGGCCGGGGGGTTGGGGGGTTGAGGGATGAGTCACGGGGGCGATCGCATGTGCGGGACGAGGGACGACCTCTCCAGGAGGTTTCTGAGCTTTCACTAGAAGCTGCAGTCTGCTGAAGACCGTCGACCGAGGGAAAAGTGCAGTCTTGAACATTGTGGTGCCCAAACTGTCGTCGTCCATTCTTTGCCCAACCCATCGACAGATGTCTCTGTAAGCTTTCACCAAGGCATTCGTTAGGCCGTGGTGGTTGACGATCATGTAGCGCCTGGCGTTCAGCACGTTTTCAGACATGAGCACACGGTGGGTCTTCAAGATGAGCGAGAAGCTTTGGTCCTTGTCGTTCGGGACCGCTGCGTATTCGCCATGTCTGTAAAGGTGGATCGCAATCTTTTCCAAAGGTCCAATGTTCGCATATAGTCTGTAAGAGTATTTGGCTCGTTGCCGTGCCCGCGAAGCCGTAGTAATGAGACGTTTGGTGACTGCTTTGATCCACCAGTCCAACTTGATCTACTCAGGCCTTGTGTTCGTCTCACGTTCTTTGGAAAACGTTGGCGTCGTAACGGCGCGGGGGCCTCGGAACGTCGAGGCTGGTTGCAGAAAAACTTGAAGTACCATCTCCATCTCAGCTTGTTGCCGAAATTGAAGACCTGCTGCCTGAAAGTCTGCATTGAGGGGAGTGCCCTGGAGAGTGAAATATGCTTGCGGTGCCGTCGAAGGACTAGCCACTTCATCGGCCATGGTACGCCTACGGGGTACATAATTTGAGAACGGGGGTCGTAGCATTGCACGGTATGCTCGTATTTTGACCAATCCAAGATTGTAAGCAAATCCCCAGCTGCCAATCCAGCTGTCAAATTCAGCATCCATTGAATATCACTGCGTTCGTTCAATGCCATTTTGATCCGTTGCCTCCGGGCATCCCAAGGACGGGCTCCAACAAGACGAACGTGGCGACTCACACGGAGCCGGGAACAGAGCAACAACGGGAGCCGCACGTGGCCGACACGACGGCAACGCCGGTCTGCCGCCAGGATCGTGGACCGAGGTCGCGGGCAGCCTGGCTCACACGGCGGCGCCCGCAGGGGCTGGAGAGTCGAGGGCGCGATCGGCGGCCACGGCTCGGTGGTGGCGCCCGACCCGCAGATCAAGGGAGACGACATCAGAGTGCGCCGGCAAGTACCCGACGGCCCAGCGTCGCTGGGTTCTAAAGAGGACGACCTGGGCTGCTGCTGGCGGGCGGTGCTCGAGCTGGACCGCGGGAGCGGCCAGGAGGGGGGTGTCCAAGAGGGGGGCATGCAAATCATGACCGGCGGCATGTGCGCGGCCCAGCGGGGGGACCAGGGACGCAATGAGATAAGAAGAGGCGCCACGAAAGCTGGGGAAATGTCGTGGCCCCCGCCATGATCTCCCCCCCCCCTAGTTAGTCATCACCCCCCTCTTTGCCGCCCCCGAGGAGGGCGTCGGCGCTCCTGGCGCGCCCCGCCGGGCGGGCCAAGGCTCGCAGGGTGACGCCGCTGCGGGCGGAGGAGCGCCCGGCATTCCTCGAGCAAGCAGTGCAGAAGGAGGCCAGCCTGGAGGGAGAGTGCCCAGCGCCACCGGCAATCACCATTGGGCGCGGGCAAGGGGAGCCAGGGCAGCTGGGTGGGCGTGAGACGCTCGCGTCTGGTGGAGCCACGCGAGATGGGCACGATCACGATCGAAGGCTTCGAGGAGCTCCGGGAGCAGACCGAGCTCAGCGGGGCCGAGCCGAGCGGGAGTCGCGGCCAGCCAAGCCGCAGCCCAGCGCCCAGCCGACGCCAGGCGGCAATCGCCAATAGGGTCCGCAGGGATCGACCCTCCGACGTCTCAGGCGTCCATCCGCCTCCACACCCTAGCTGCTAGTAGGGCGCTTTGCCGGAGTATTCTTATTTGGAGGGGGGGGATTGGTGCGGCCTGGTATCAAAAAGAGCCAGCGCGTCGGTCGATTCTGCCAGGTCACGAGCTTGTTGGGAGCCTCTGCCTTCACCCTACAGCCGGTGTTCACCGCAGAGTGGCCAACACTGCCGCGCCAACCTCCCGCCCGGGACAATGCTGAGCACTCACAGGCGTCGAGGGGGTCTCCACCGTGAACAGCCACGGCGTGGACGTCATGCAGGCCTTCGGCGGCGAGGGCGGCATCACCCAGGCGGCGCTAGACCGCAACATGATGGCGGTACAAGTCGTGGGCAGCAAGTACGGCTGGGACCCCCGCAAGCAGCGCGACCCCGACATGACCTACGAAATATTCCACGGTCAAAGGCCGAGGTTTGTGTCGGTCGACCTTCCCTGCACCCCTTGTGCGGTGGCTGGCGGGATAGATGTGCGTCGGTCTTGTGGTGCGATGTACATGAACGGCGGACGCTGTGGCTGCGCCAGGAGATGAGAAGCAGCGGAGGTGGGACATCGGCAGAGGCTCCCACTGCTGCTGTTTCTCCTCCTCCTTATCCTCCTCGTCTCCTCTTCCCCTCTTCCTCCTCCTCCTCCTCCTCATCATCATCATCATCATCATCATCATCATCATCACCATCACCATCACCATCACCATCACCATCACCATCACCATCACCATCATCATCATCATCATCATCATCATCATCATCATCATCATCATCATCATCATCATCATCATCATCATCATCATCATCATCATCACCAGCATCAGCATCAGCATCATCATCATCATCATCATCAGCAGCAGCAGCATCATCATCGTTACCTTCCCTCCGCACCTCTTCCCCCGTCCACTTCCTGCCCTCCTCCTCCTCCTCCTCCGCCTGGATCCTCCCCCTTCTCCTGCTCCCGCGCCCCCTCCCCAGACCTCCGACGTCGTGACTTTTTCATGACGCGACCCCCAGAGGTCCGGACCTATTCCCCGGGACCGGTTTTTCGTCCTGAGTCGTTTTTTGACGGTACCGAGGGCCGGTAAGGGCCCCCAGAGGCCAAAAACAATGAAAGACCTCCCGTCGTGATTTTTGCATAGCTCGAGGGGGTCTGGGCCCTTCCCTCCCTCTCCCGACGATGCTGGCGGCCCCACGCACCCGACAAAAAGGACGACGGCCACGGCCGCCGGCGGCGACGATCGATGCCCTCCCCACAGGCAGCGCTGGGGGGGCGCGGGGTCCGCCCGCAGCCGCCCGGGCGAGGCCGCCCGGGCCCCGTGCGGCCGGGAGCCCAGCGCCGCTGGGCGAGCAAGCGGCGGGTCCTCGCGGGGCGGCGGGCGCGTTGCTGGCCATCGCTCGGACGTCCATTCCCTGTGCTTCTGTCGGTGTCGTGCGTGGTTTTTTCGCCAAATGATCAGGGATGCTCCTCGATGGTCCTCGCGCCGAAGGAAAGATGCACACGTCCGAGCGATGCCAAGGTTGTGGAGCCGCTGGAGGTCGTGGCGTCGCCGTGGTGGTAGACGTGGTCGTTGCGAGCATCGTCGTCGCCGGCGTCATCGTCGTGGTCGTAGTCGTGGTCGTCGTCGTCGTCGTCGTCGTCGGCGGCGGCGTCGTCGTCGTCGCCGTCGGCGGCGTCGTCGTCGTCGCCGTCGTGGCGGCGCCTACGTCGGAGGAGCCGTCGCGCAGTCAGCACAGACGGACACCTGCAGATGTCAGAGCACGTGTGGCTCCAACAACTAACACCTGATCTGGCCACTCCAGAAGCCAGAGACCCTACCCGAGGAAAACTCAGAGGACAGCGGTCCCAGGAAGACACAGAGACTCAAGAGCGAGCGGCAGATCATGTGGCTGGATGTGAACATCGAAGCCCGCCTTACGCCACAAAGCGAAACGCAAGAGAGAGAGCTGTTATCCACCGCCGAAGACACAGGGAGTAAGGAAGCAGCCGAGGCTAATTTCTCGTTCCGAGTGAAGCCCAACCAGTCGAGTGAAGCATCCGCTGCGCTGAGTGGGACAGAAACACGTTTGGCTTCGGTTGTCTTGAGTCTCGCGGGGTTTCGACCAGCCAGAGATGGCCCCGAAGCCTGACATTATTGGGAGGGCGATTGCCGGCGCCCAAATACTTGTCCACGGGCGACGTCCTGCCACTCGTACCATCAAGGCAACACGCAACACGCATGACGATGCTCGAAACTAAAATTCGCCGACCCAACGGGCCAGAGGCGTGCTAAGATCTCCGGTAACTAGTTAACTATATTTCTAGTTCGCGCGCGCGGGGCGGCCCCTGGGGGTCCCGAGCGAAAGTAGCCCCGGCAAATCCCGGGATGGTCGGGTTAGAGATGCCAGACCCAGCAATTTTTCGACACCCCTCACGAGGATCGTGGCCTCCGAGGGGGGGGGCCGCAATCGACTACCCCCCCTCCTGCCCCAAGAGGCCCCCAAGAGCCCCCCAAGAGGCCCTGGGGGCCCCCAAGACGCCGCCAAGGAGCCCCAAGAGACTCCCAAGAGGTCCCCAAGAGGCCCCCAAGAGGCCCTAAAGAGGGCTCCAGGGCTGGCGGAATGAGCGAAGCGATTCATGATAGCTTGTGCCCTCTCGCTGCCTCTGGCGGCACAGGACACGATGCTCGAACATTCATATATGGAACAGTGCGGTCCGTGCCGTGCTTTTTGGCACCCCTTCTATCACTTCTGGGGGGCCAGCCTCAAGAGGGGGAAAGTTCCGCTCAAGGAGAGGGTCAGCAATCGTAGCAGCAAGCACCTCGCCAAGCGGGGGGGGGGTGCGGGGGGGGGGGGGGGGGCGGCCTGCCTGGAGCGCTTCGGATAACTTCGCGCCCTCGCGCCGCCCCCCAAGGGAGAAGAGGAGGACGAGGAGCACTTGAAGCCGAACAGCGGGGCGCAAATAACTTCACGCGCTCGAGGGCACCCTTGCCGTCTGTGAGGGCTGGCGCTCCTCGTCGTCGTTGTCGTCGTCGCGGCCGCCAGCGATGGCGGCCAAGGCCGCGGACTTCAGCGGCAAGGCGGCGCACTCCGAGAGCTGGCGGGGCGCGCCGCCGCCCTCCCGCCTCTACGCCCCATGCGCTGGGCTCCTCCTTTCAGGCTCCACGCTCCCGTCCTCCTCTTCTCCGTCTCCTTTCCCTCGCACTTTTGTCTCTGTAACTGATATGTATGTACGTAAATGTGTAAGTAGGTATGCATAAATGTAGGGGGTTAGACAGGTAGGTTGGTAGGTATGCGAACATGCATGCGTTATATATATATATATATATATATGTATATATATACATATATATATAGATGTGTATGCATGTATGCATGTCTGCATGCATCTGTGTACATGGGTATACGTAGGCTTGTGTGTATGCATGCATGAAAAATATGCCTGCGTGCATGAATGGTTATCTGCATGGTTGTGTGTATGCATGCGTACATGCATGCATGAACTAATGCATGCATGTATGAATGTATGTATGTAGGTACAAACGTAGGTATGTATGCACGTATATAGTAATGTACACATACAGACCATACATACGACCGTGTGTATGCATGCATACATGCATGTATGCATACATATGTATGTGTATGTGTGTGTATGGATGTACGTATGTGTTCATGTATATATGTATGTATGGATGTACGGATGTATATATGTATCTATGCATGTATGAATGTATGTATATATGGATATATGTGTGTATGTGTGTATGTATGTATATATGTATATATGTATATGTATGTATGTATGTATGCATGTATGTATGTATGTATGGATGTATGTATGTATGTATGTATGTATGTATGTATGTATGGATGTGTATATGTATGTATGTATGTATGTATGTATGTATGTATGTATGTATGTATGCGTGACTACAGATAGGTGTGCATGTATGTATGGATGCATGCATGTTTGCATGCAATTATGTATGCTTGTGCGTGTGCATGTACTTATGTGTGTGAACGGATATATAGGTGTGCGGATAAAACGATGTGAATATAGGCAGAGAAGATATAGTTGCATGTTACCTGGCTTCTTCACATCTCCCCGCTCTTCTCATGTTGCCGCTCCGGCAGGGCCCTCGGCTGGCGTGTCACCTCCCTGCCATCCATGCCAAGATGTGATGCATGCCGCACCTCCACCGCTCATGCCGCCGTGTTGGGCAAGACCCTCGGCTGACGTGCCACCTGCCCACCATCCACGCCCGGGAATGCTGTGTGGCGGTCGGAGCTTTGGAATCTTACGCGATTATTGAAGGCCCGGCCGCGTCCGTGCGCTTAGTATTTCTACTTGCTCCGCCTCGTCGCCGCGCGCGAGGACGCTACCGCCAAATGTGTGTATGTGTGTGGGCGTGTGCGCACACATATATATATATAATCACATACATCCATACATACATACATACATGCATGCATGCATGCATGCATGCATGCATACATACATACATACATACACACACTCATACATACACACACACTCATACATACATACATACCTACCTACCTACCTACCTACCTACCTACCTACATACATACATACATACATACATACATACACCATAGAACCATCGCGCGCGCTCGAGTTCTAGCCCAGGTCGGGGGGGCGCTGGCAGATCTTGGACAGCGCTATCAAGCACAGGCGCGTGACATAGACGTGCCTCCTGAAGGCCTCTTGGGGACCTCTTGGGTCTTCGCGGGGGCATCTGGAGGGCTTTAGGGGGATTGTCCGTGCTTCCTCAAATTGCTGTTGGAGGCACCTCTTGGGGGCTTCTTGGGGGGTCGTCTTGGGGCTTCTTGGGGTCCCTTGGGAGCATCGTTGGGGTTCTCTGGGCAGTCGGAAGGTGATGTTCTGCAGTCTGAAACCGTCATTGGCCGTCTTGGCTGCGTGGAGGTCCGACTTGAAGGCGCCCGGGGCCACACTGAGGCAATCTGGAAACCTCCCGGGGGCCTCCTGCAGACAGTTTTGATGCATCGAGGGCACTGCTGGGCAATCTTGGGGCCCCTTGCACGTCTCCTTGGGGCCTTTTGGAGCCACTTGGGAAGCTTATGGGGGCCTCGTCGGAACTCTTGGGGCCTTCTCTGGGCCTCTGGGGGCGGAAAACTCTGCTGTTGGGTTCGCGTTCCCGTTCTTGGGCCTCTCTTGGGACCGTCTTGGGCGCCTCAGGCACCGTCTTGGGGCCTCGTGGGCCGTCTGGGGGCCCTCTTGGAGGCCTCTTCTGCTATCGTGGAGCGGTCTTGGGGGCCTCTTGGGCCGTCTTCAAGCGTCGGGATGCCAAAACGCTGAAATGCTAAAATGCACCAAAAAGGAACAGAAATCTGTGATTTGGGTTTCTTGGGGCCCTCTTGGAAGCGCGGGCCATCCGGAGGCCACATTGGGCCGGTTGGAACGATAACTCCGCGATAGCAGGCCTCCTGGAATCCTCTTGCATAGTAGGCCTCCCGGAGACCTCTCGCAGCCCTTTTTCATCAGTGCTGGGGCGTCTTGTGGGCGTCTTGGACGCCGCGTATTGGACGTCTGTCGAAGGCTTGCGGCGCGATTATCATGAGCCCCTCGAAATCTCTGCAATGCCTCTTGGGGGCCTCTCGGCGTCTCCTCGGTGCCACTCGGGAGCTTGTGGGGTTTCTTGAAATCTCTGGGGGCATGTTAGGGGCCACTGCGGGCGGGAGCTCACTTGCAAATCGGCCCAACAACCTGACGCGCCCCTGCGCCAGTGGCATACCGAGCGATTGTTTGAATATTCTGCCAATGCTATCAGCCGCGTATTCTGACAGTTGGCATCGCGATCCTCATTGAAACGTCTGCTTGCGTCACGGTGGTCCACTGCGCAGTTGACGTCTGATCCACCGTGGACGCCCGTGGTACCATCCCACCAGAGACCAATGTCAAGATCCCGGATGGGGCATAATTCAAACTACTGCTTAACATGCGATGCGCCAACAACTTTTCTGGGTGGCGCTCCCGGACATGATAAGCCTTTGGGTTCATAAACTGATAAAGGACTATCTCGCCTGTCTTCCCCAGTCTCAATTTCAGCAAGCCCCCTGTCGTTTCTAGTACTCCTTATCCGAAACGTCATACTGGCCTCCGTCAGCCCGCTGCGTCATCATCACAAACTATATATCTTCATTGGTTTACCAAACCAAAAGGAATCTATCATCAAGGATCTCTGGAATATGTCCGACACCATGGGCAAAGTTGAGGGGTGGGAAAAATTGCGCTGCTGTCGAGTCAGCAATAAATTTTGCACTCGTATTGCCCCTGGTAATTGTGACGTTCGTCGGGGGCGCAGTCAGCCTGACATTTTCGGGGAGCGCCTGCCCGGCCGAAATCTTGAGATAACGGTGCAGTTGTCCGGAATCATGTCCAAACATTGTTGCCAAAGCGTTCCCATGTTATGGGGCTTCATCAACGTGTCATAGCTCCATGGGTAAGGGAATTGATGTTTCTCGTCCCCGCTCGCGTTTTCAAATGTGGTCGGTACGGGATGGCCACGTGCATCGCCAATCCAAACGTTCATGTCCTGCTTCGGGAATAGCCCTCGAACAAATGATTCAGCCACTTCTCCATTTCCACCAATCAAACATTGTCGATCACTCCACGTCGCAAAGAACGTGTCACGCGTTTAAAAATAATCCGACTGGCCTCGACGATACTGCGTATGCGAGACCTCGCGCGCTCATCGCCTGCCTCAAACGCCACCACCACCACCAGAAATACCCGGCGAGCGGGGCCGCGGCCCTCGTCGGCAGATATCCAACGTCGGGAAAAAATGCGACGCAAGGTTTTTTTGAACGTTCGGCTTCCCGGGGTCCCCGTAAGGCCCCGGGACTGTCCAGAAACAACTCGGGACGAAAAACCGGCCCTGGGGAAAAGGTCAGGACCTCCGGGGACCGCGCATCGAAAAAAAATCGCGACATCGATGCGTGGAGGGCTTCTGCTAGGTAGTTTGTTAGCGACTGTAGCTCTGAGCCTGAGCGGATGCTGTGTTGCGGGTCGGTCATTGAGCTGAGGAATGCGGCCCAGATTCTTTCTGGTGAACTTGGTGCGCATGCCGTATTTCTCGTCGATCTGGAACTCGCGTCGTCTGTCGCGCTGCTGGTAAAAGATCATGTATAAGGTCTCTCTGAAGCATGTCCCGCGCCGTCGAAATCGAAGCGGGGGCGCCTTAGTCGCGCCGCGTCGTCGTCGACGTCGTTGTTGAGGTCGTCCCGAGACAAGAGGATGAACGGGCGTCGGCGTGCTTCGTGGTGTGTAATGTCATTATAGTCGAGTGGCTGTTGGTCCTTGCGGTAGTCAGACCGTCTGTAGCATGGGGCGTCGGCTGGCCTGTGCGACCATCGCGTTGACATGTAGTCGCGCGATGAGTATGTCCCCCTCTGTCTAGAGCCTGTTGGAGCCGTTGTTGCAGGAACGAGAAGTATTGTCGGTTGATGTCAGGCAAGCAGGCGATTGCCACGTGGGTATGTCTCTCTGCGCGTGCCCAGCCTTCAGCCGCGGGCACTGGCACGCACTCGCATCCCAAATGTAGGGACACGCGCGCGCAGTATTCATCGGTCCTTGCGTCGGCCGCGTTGTCTCGTTTGCTCGGCCGCACTTGCGCGCGCAATGCCTGCGCCGACGATGGGTCGCATTGCGTGGGAGAGAGGCCGTGCGTGGCAGCTCCTGTTGGTGTTCCTTGCGTCGCGTCTTGAGTAGTGGTGGTAATTCGTCGTTGCCGTCGTCTTCGCGGCGCTCTGTGGACTGCCGGTGCTGCAATTCCACGAGCTGCCCCCGCTCCCCGGCACGTTGGCCATCGGACATCCGTGAGCATGTCACGTGGTAGGAGGACGAACGCGTGGCATTTGCCCGCCTGTCAATAGGAACACCAAACGCGTCGTCTGCAATAGCAATATGTTTGCAGGGCGCCTATCGCGCGCGCACGGCGCGAATCTGCGAGGCGATGAGAGCCACAATTGTTGTGGACGCACTTGGTTTGAGCCTGGCTGCCGCGGCGCTGAGGCGAGTGGGGCGCGGGGAACAATGATGCGTGTCTGGCA